CCGTAACACCCAGACTCTATCCACAGCTGAACCCTGCTGTTTTTAACTCAAGTGTAATCAGAGCTGTCATTAAATGACTCATCCTGAAAACATTTGTGTTTTGGAGGCGTTCTGTTTGACTCTCCAGAGTACAAAATCAAATAATTGAGTAAAACTTAAGCTAGCCTGGCCCTTTCCTACACAGTTCCGCTCAATTTTAGTTTCCCTTCACTGCTTCATCTGGGTTTTCTCCCACAGACAAGGATTTCCACGGTAGAATTTCAACTGGACCAATCAGCGAACAGGAGGAGACATTGTGAAATGATGATTTTCTGCGCTGTTTCAGCAACGGCAGCGGAGGAAGTGAATGAAGCCAGTCTGTGTTTACAAGGCTTCTAAATTAAATTAAATTTGTCTCACAAAGCCTGCAGGACTCATTTACAGCCATCCCGTTCAACTTGGTACTTCTCTCTTCCCAGTAGGAGATGGTTGTTTACAGCGCAGTTTCCGGTTAGCTTCTTAGCTTCCTTCACAGTTGAGCTGGCGCTCTACATACATCATGGCCAAACGTTAGTGATCGGGTAAAATCAGAGCTAGTCGTTTTAAACTTCAACAGAGTCCACACCTCCGGCAATAAATCATTTTCTAATTTCTCAGTATCCGAGAGTCCTCAGATGTGCTTTGCTTCTGTACAAAGCAAAGCGTAAGACAGGTGACTGTTTTTTATCAGGCTATGCTTAAGCTTAAAGACTAAGCAACTCTTGTGTTTGATGGGATCTACTTTTCAAAATAAAAGTTTTGCCTGTAAATAAACTGGTTGGTCTGGTCTTGTTCCTGTGTCTAACAGGGCTCAAGCTGCAAGCTCATTGATTTTGCATATGAGCATTGTCTGAGCACCTCCTTTAACCTCACAGCCCACAAGCTGGTCTCYATTATAACACATACACCTCACATGTTCCACTCTGCTTGCTGTAAAATCCTTTTCACGCCACTTGAGTAAGCATCCTTCAGGACTGAAGAGCTGCCCGGTCCTCTGAGCTACACCTGTGTCTGGACAGCTACCAAATCTTCCGCCATGAGTCGGACTGGAATTAATTTGGACRGTCGTGTGATACGAAGCCCTCCGAGACCTGCAGACACTTTATCCWGCAGACAGAGCTCCGATCCGTCTCTGCCTCCAGAGACCACCTGTCAGATGAAAGAAATGTCTGTCTTTCAAAAGGACCCAGTCCTTGAACGGATTGATTATCCATCAGCAGACTCTGTCTCTGAGGTGCTCCTATCTCTCACTCTCTAATTTGGTTCGATAGCTGACACGATGATTCACACCTTCCTGTTGTTTGCAACCAAACCACATTATGTGTCATTTAAGGCTCGGAGGAACACCCAATTTCTGAGTTTTATTACTTTCATCTGTTTTATGGGTGTTACTGTACGTTATATCATGCTCATAAGTGTGCTGTAAAATCCAGTCTTATAATCCTGACAGGAAGTGGATGATGGTATGCGAGTGTCTGGGATGTTAGCAGCATTCCATCTACTGCTGCAAACCAAACACATGAATACCTTCTGCTTCAAAATCCCAGACAAAAACAAACTCACATTCTTGTTCCTGCTGTAAACGTGTCATTTCCTGACGATTTAAAGGTATTTACATTGACTTGGAAAAAGTATTGTTACAACCTGAAATTGATTTTGTGTCTTAGTTTAATAAAAAGCAACATTTCTTGCAGTCAATCCCTTTTCTTTGAAGTCTCAACTSTGTTTATATGATGAAGTTTTTACAGTTTATGATAATTCACAGCAAAAGTACTTTGAAGAAAAATTGTTAAAATTAAAATAATTTATTTGTTGTCTCATCTGTTTTTGGAAAAGCAATAAAATAAATCTACATAGGTTTTACAAAAGCTAAATCAAGAGCATGAAATGCTGACTATGACAACATATTTACTTATCTATTATCTAACCCATCCACTCATCCATGCAGTACCCCCGCCCCCTCCCTCTTTTCTCTGTCTTTTGTGAAAGAGAAGCCGGGGCCTCTCGGCGACATTATCCTGTAAAACTAATAATAACTGAGATTTGTGCCGGCTTTAGCTTTCTTCCTTCATTTTCGGAGCCAGACGTTTGGCAGAGGAGCGAGGGGAGGGACGTTTTGAGGTGGAGTTGTGTGGAAGAAACAACGCTTGATATGTGAAAAGGGAAACCCGGTGAAGCACAAGATGAAGAAAAAGACAGAGAGGCCCCTCTTCCCTGAAACATACCACATACCAGCAGTTTCCATGGGTCAGTGCCACGAAAATTCCTCTGCATCCTCTCAAAACACATCGTACAGACGTGTTTGTACTCCATAGCCCAACAATGCTTTATTTCTTATAAAAAGTAATTCAATTAAAAACTATTTTAATGTATAGCTGTCTGCCCTTGGTAAAAATCAAATTGTAAATAAAAAGATAATTTATTTCGACTAATAATATTTAAAGTATTTAGTCTTAAAGGAGACATGCCATGTTTTAAATCCTTCTTTTTCACATTTAAATCCTTCCGTTGGGGTCTATATAAAGTGGAACTGCAATGCTTTGGTCTGAATTCCTCCACAAGCCCCGCCCCTTTTCTGGGGTGTGTCCCAGATCAACTCATTTTCAGGCTGTCTCTTTAAATCCAAACGAGGAGTTTCACACCCCGCCCTATCAGCTTCCAGAGCGGTCTATTCTAGTTTGATAAGAGGGGTTTACGACTATATAGCAGCGTGGAAACTTTTTCTTTACAAATGAATTGAAAGATGTCAATGAGGAAAGACTTGTCCGTTCAGTCTTTTAATTTTTTCTAATTATTATTTTTCATTTAAAAACAAAACAAATGCTATACATACAACAAATAATTATAAAAAGCACAAATAAAATGAAAGGTAGCAGAAAGTAGAAAAAATCTTATTGATATCTGCCCCTTTTTTTACAAAAAATAAAGTCAAACAATAACAAAACATCACAAAAACTTCAACTCCTTCTCAAACAACAGTTCCTATGAATGCACATACAAATTCATATTTCTTCAACAATCTAATTTTTATCATTCTCCTAAATAAATGTACTGAGCCAGCCTTTTTATAATCACTTTCCAGATTATTCCACAATCTTATTCCTTAGACTGAAGTACATCAGTCCTTCAAACTGGTTCGAATTTTGGGCTTTACAAACATCTCTACACCTTAAGGTTATAATTACTTACTCTCTTAACAAAATTTAATTGAATGTTTAGAGGTAATAAATTTTTATGAGCTTTATACATAACCTGCAAAATATTCCTATAATATATATTATAGTCTTACATGGTGCCATAATCTGACCCAGAGTCAGAGGAGAATTAAGACCACCAAAGTGTAGTTGGTAAGTCTAGACCTTATTTAGATGTTCTGTTGCAAAAACGGTGACGTAATAGTTCAGAAAACGTCATAGAATGTAGAGAAAACTGAATGGGTTGAAAAATATGACCCAAACAGAATATAAAGATATCTTAGCAGCACCAGGAGAGAMTAAATTCAACTTTTCTGCACTCAATACACAACAAAATACATTTAACTGCTAAAAAAAACTGGATATTGCATAGTTCCCCTATCAGAGGTGCCTTCAAGGTTTACATCAGCCATTTAAAAGAGAACAGGCTCATGGAAAGGTAGTCAAACTTCTAGGGTGAGGACGCAAGAGGAAATGCAACCCCATGTTGATCAAACAAGGAAAGCATTCAGAACCATTTGTTGCATTCTGAATGGGCTCCATGGAAGAAGAGCCAGGAGGGATCGGTTATTGAAGAAAAACCTGTAGCGTTACAAGTGTTAACAGTTCAAATGCTTGCAGTTTTGCTGTCTCCCCCTCCCCGCACCACAGCCACAGAGTATAAAACGTGTTCCGACTGTACAGTTATGACAGAGGTGTTTCAAGATGCAAGAAGAGGACAGAGGGGGAGGTCTCACCCTGAAGAACCTGCCCTCACTAACCCCTCTCTCTCTCTCCAYTCCCTGCACTTCAGCTCTCCTCCTCTTCCTCAGAGACATGTGCACACACTGAGCCAGCAGACAGCTCAAACTCTCAGAGCTGATGCACAGACAGCTGCTCTTTCTCCCGTCCTTATTTTTCCCCGTCCTCTCTTCTTTTATTTCGCTCCCGTAACTGCCTCTTCTCATCTGTCTGCACTTTCCCCTTTCTTCACCCTACTCTGTAATCCTGCTCACTGTTCTGCACCCGGCAGGACTGGTTGGAGGGAGAGRGCTTGTGTAATATCCACACGAGCACCGGAGAGCCAGGCAGCACAACAGAGGACCCCCATACATTTTAAAGGACAAACTTTGAAAAGGTGGACAGCGTTAAAGTGGAAGATGCAGACCATGCTGGGCTGTTTGCTGCTCCTGCTGGTTCTGTCCTCAGGAAGTGATGCCAGAAGAATAAGGAAAAGAGGGATCAATCATAAGGTGGGGCTACTTATTCTACTAATATGAGTCATATGAGAATGTGGATTTATTTTTTTTTCTGTGCTCAGAGCTTCTGTCAAGCTGGAAGTAGGTGAAAGCTCACAGCACCACAGGACAGAGCCGACTCTGTTTCAGAAACTCTTTTCATACATCGGGGACGTTTTTAGGATGAAGGAAGAGTTTAAGAAACTGACCTGAAAACAGGAGGGAAAATAAAGACAAAATAAACTCTTCTTCTTTTAGTAGTGACAAGAAGTAATTTTTATTAATGCAGGGAACTAGTTGGACAATACTAATCTTATCTGGGCTTGTTTACYGAGAATGAATGAAAATAGGACTTTCAAAGTTAAATAACTGACCTGTTGTAGGAAAATCTGTTCTTCTTTGATGGAAGTTAAACACCAAGGCCTGCAGAAAGAAATTTGGATTTTTAATGTTTGACTGAATATCACTGAATTTTGCCATCCCTTAACTTTTAGGCTAAGCTAACCAACAACTGCTCGTTTTGCCTCCCATTAACCGTTTAAGTGAATGTCATTTTAAAAAACTAATCTCTTTTTTATTTCCCATTTTTCTTTCTATTTGTCTAAATAAAACCTATACGTTTATTGTTTTTATCTTTTTTTTATTACAGTAARTAACATGCCGCATTGGTATTAGGTAGAAAATCATTACAACTTCAAATGTTTCAGTTCTCAGATTTTAGATATAAACTAAGTTCTTGACTAAGCATCAAACTGAAAAATACATGATAATCGTCAACATGACAGATTTTAATGAGTACATTTTACTTTTGATCTTTGAGGAGGAAGATGTTTATATTAAACATCAGAACGGACACATTTTGGGAACAGTTTTGATTCTGAAAAATAAGTTAAGTTTTTGATTTTTGATCAGGAACATTAAGCAGAGTGAGCAACAGGGTGGAAAAAGTTGCTACTTTTCAGGTTTCCATATGAGTAACTGAAGGGCACATTGGGTGTTCAGCGTGTGTGTGTGTGTGTGTGTGTGTGTGTGTGTGTGTGTGTGTGT